TGGTTCATTTTTATATGCTCATCATTATTTTTATGCCCGAGATTTATAAGTGCATTTTTGTTTTTGGTAATTTTCCGTAATGCCTTCTTTATCCGTCTAAATCTTATTTATGCTATTCAAACATGAAACAGCGTAACATAGGTGTTTGTCACAGGTAGGCTCTCGGGAAGAAGAAACGTTCGCTGTTTGATGTACCAATTTATTACATGTATACGAGCTAATATAATACCATCGTGTGCCATCGAGTCATTGTGGTATATCATTTAGCAAACTTATATTTCTGTAGTTACCCACGTTCGAGGGTTTGTTTAAAGTTTTATTTGCTCACTCTATTATTTACAAAGCTCCATATGGATATTAAGGGAATTAACATCGGCAAAGTTTACTGCCTCATTACTACGGTTTATGTAATATGCAGTAAGAAAGGGTTGATTCAAGTCTCCCTATTTGAGTGTTCACCCGGTTTAAAATCGTGGATCTCGAGGAACACACGAATTCATTCGACCAATGAAAAACGTGGAACTAGTTCGAGAGTCTCGTTCAGGTGGCGCGTCGACGCGCCAAAACACAGCTCCAGATTATCACGCGTAATATTACTATATATACACGACCAATCAAAAACGTGGAACTGCTTCGTGAGCCCTCCGCTAAGGTGGCGCGCCGAAACCAAAGAAAAATTGCCATCACCAAAAACAGGCTCATTGGCAATCTCCCTACTCATATCTGGTTATAGCTCGTTATACTATTTGGTGGTTTTAATTCTAAGTATACTTTTTTATCACCATCATGAATGCATGTAATTTTGTCCACAGCATGAAGTAGTAACTTTAAAAAAATGGTTTCTAATAAAAATATGATTAGTATATCATAGAATATGTAGAAGAAAGTTTCTAGGAAACAAAATTTTTTAACTCTAAGTATACTTATTTATCACCACGCGTGTTGTTCAAAATCATAGATCGACCCGTATTGGTGAGGGGAGGGGACGGAGGCTTGAACGCGTACTAATACCATTCAAAGTAACTAGGGACTACTTTCGCATGCTGCCAATCTCGCCTACACTGAACTCGTGGATATACTATATGTGAGATATTGATAGATAGAATCTATTTAATTGGTACAGACTGTGTAAAATTACCGTGTTAATGAATGAATGGAATAAAAATTAATTTTTTAAAAAGGGTATATTATATCAGAGATGAGTAGGGAGATTGCCAATGGGCCGATATTCTTGAAACCAATTTTATTTTGGAGTAAACGCGCCACCTGAGCGGAGGGCCGTCGAACCATACCCACGTTTTTTATTGGTCGAGTATATACAGCGTGTCCCAAAATTACCTGACCAACGGGGTATGGCGGTATTCGGGAGGCACCACTGATCACGAAAATGACCTTCCTTTTGTCCGGAAGATCATAGTTTTTAAATGGGAGCAGGTCAAAGTTGACCAATTAGAACGAGGCGTCAAGAGAAACGTAGGCACCTACGAACTCTGAGTTTTCTTCCCTCGCTATTGTTTCTCGGTAGCTTGTTCCTTGTTTCCCATAGGCATGTCTTCGGCTGACGTCATCCTGCCCGAAGCCACCGAGAAACAAAAGCGAGGGAAGAAAACTCAGAGTTCGCAGGTGCCTACGTTTCTTTTGACGCCTTAATCTGATTGGTCAACTTTGACCTGCTCCCATTAAAAAACTATGACCTTCCGGACAAAAGGAAGGTCATTTTCATGAACAGTGGTGCCTCCCGAACACCGCCATACCCCGTTGGTCAGGTAATTTTGGGACACCCTGTATAGATATACTACGCGTGATATTTGTGAGCTCCGTGAGACGCATGGATTATAACGGGTGGTACTGTAAAGCGTGTGTTTTCTATTGTCGACGCGTCACGTGGACGGAGATGCCTCGAACCATACCCACGTTTTTGATTGGTCGAGCGTATGTATCAAAGTACTCTAAGCAAACTCCAAACGTGGATAACAACTGAAATACAGTTTTCTCAATCTGTACGCCACGGTAACTAAGTATCATACGTGTATGGTAACGCCTCAACGTGCGAGAGTCTCGCCCACACAGCGCAGAAATATTTTGTCAACATTGCCAAAAGTTTCCCTTGAAATAATGCAATATTACCGGAAATATATTGAAAATTGTTTAAATATTTCTGGAATGTTGCAGGAACCTTGCAATGTCCGCTCAGCACGTTGCAATCATAATATTGCTATAATATTGCCGGTCAATATTTTGGAAATATCAATGCATAATATTAATAAAATATAACTCAGATAGATAACTGAGAAATAATATAACTGAGAATAAATTCCAATGCCAGCAATGTATCGTGGGTTTCTTTGGGCAAATTGCCTATACCTCCTTAAATATTACCTCGGTTGTATTTTTAAATACTCTATACAAATGCAATAATTTCACATGTAATTTTTACATGCAGAATACAAAAGTATATATCGACGGCGAAGACGAAAACCGAATAATCGACGGATTAATTATTTACCCGGTCCTACGTTTTTTCATGCGAGTTGCCTTGGCCACCTAGCGGCGCGGCAGCGAACTAGTGTTCGCTCGGATACTCCGAGTCTGGTTAGGGACTCTTGTCACAGATTTCAGCAATATATCAGAAAGTTTTATTTATTATATTGCTCTGAAATATTGTGCAATATTTGACATAAAGACATCAACAACATTGCTGTCGCATTGAAATATTGGAATATTGTTGTAATGTTTTCGAAATATAGTGTGCTGTGTGGGCGGGTTCGAGACCCAATTATTATTACTTTTTTTTTTATTAATCAACAATGCTTATTGAACCGATTAATTAACTTGGAATGTAGCAAATGCATGATTATATTATACCATATACATTTTATTATATTATACAGTCGTGTCTATTTTTATGCCGTTGATACATTCCACATAAACCAGTATATAAAAAATGGGTGATGCCCAAATGCGCACAAACCCAATTTGACACAAATGCGAATTTCTGCCTCTTGAGCGATATTTTATCATTAATTCAACTATATTGTAAGTTATCTTTATCTGACGGAGCCTTTTCAAGGATTTAATGCTCTCTTCAGTCGATATACTTATTCATATATCAGACGATATACTTATTCACTAACCTACCCAGTCTCCGAAATTTGAACATTCCACCCTATTCTAACCTTACCTAACTAAACCTAGCGTAAACTAATGTTGAACCACATACGATATACTATAATAAGACACTGTTCGTACCTAATTCTATTCCATCTATTTAGAAGTGGACAGAATTTGCAGTAAAAAGTCATTTGTGTCCAATTGGGTCTGTGCGGCAGTGGGGCCCCCCCCCCCCCTAAAAAAAATAAGTAGAAGGAGGAACTCGGAATTTTCATGAACCTTCAAAACCGCATTAAAAAGCCACCTGCAAATGAATTTTACCCAATGAAATGCTATATGTAGACATATATTCCGCATATAAGGATCGCGAGGCACACAATACATGGGTATGTCCAGGCTATTGACATATAGTGTGGACTACGCGATCCCTACCTTAGATCCTTTGAAAAAGTGTCCGCTCAAATAAACATAGAGGAAATCAGGTGGCGGCCAATCGTTCTCCTTTTCTAATGTTCCCATTGCCTATGTTTTCTATACTCTCGTACTACGGCTGCTGGTTAGAAGAAGATAGGGCTTGGCCGCCACCAGTCGCTATCTTTTTCTTTCAGCCGACCATTTTTCCTATGTCTATGCGTAGTCCATACTATATGTCGATGGCCAAGTCTATTTGTACTCACAAGGGGAGGAAACGGTATGGGAAATGAAGTTCCGAATGAGACTTCGTAGTGATGAAACCTCATACCATGCTCAAGTTCTACAGACCAATGGACAGCCGATTCTGATAGAGCCCTAAAGTTTGTATGGGAACTTATATATCTAAAGGTGTAACTTAGCTAGAAGAGGGCTTCGTAGTGATGAAACCTCATACCATGCTCAAGTTCTACAGACCAATGGACAGCCGATTCTGATAGAGCCCTAAAGTTTGTATGGGAACTTATATATCTAAAGGTGTAACTTAGCTAGAAGAGGGTTGCCGGGCGAAGCGGTAGCATGTCAGCTTGGTAAGCCAAGGGTTCCGTGGTCGTCTCTGTGCTCGTGAATTTTTATTTCATGAATTTTTTTGCATTTTATTTCTGAATTTGTTTAATATTATAATATAATCATGCAAATATGTGTTGTCATTACAATTTTATTATTTTTGCTTCTTGTAAATAATAAAAATCAGGTTGTGAAAATACAAATACTCGTATACACAATATTTTATATATTATACTCCATATAAATATTTTACAGTGGTAGTTATTGCGAATAGGTTTTAAAAATTTTATTACTTTCGTTATAACTCTTACGATTATGATAGTATCGTAATTAATAGCAAAAATAATAAAATTGTAATGACAATACATATTTGCGTGATTATTATTACAATATTAAACAAATTTAGAAATAAAATGCAAAAAAATTAATGAAAAAGAAGTTTACAAGCAGAGACTCGAACACGAAAACTTCAAAAAGTCACAAAGCTGCATGTTCAATTTTTTTTACATCCAATTTTTTTTTCATTATGAGTAGTTATTGAACTTTATAAATAAATTTTACAAAAATTATCAAAAAATAAGGAATTTAAATAATTTTTTCAATGTAAAATTTCTTTCACTCTAGAAATGGACTTTGTTGTTGAAAACGATGTGCTATTGTTATTGTAGTAAAACTAGGACTTCTTTAAAAATGTTGATAAATGTGAAAAAATGAAAGGGCGTTTGGTGTTGTTGGTCAACTTTTTACCCCCAGACGTAATAAGTTAACGGATGAAACATTTGAAAGGCTTCTTTTTTGCAAATATAACAGTGGGGTTGGTAATATTTCATAAATTAGATAACTATCGAATATTACAAATTTAATTTTAATTGCATTTGGGGATTATAATCATAATAAAATTAATAGAAGATAGTTTCTTTATTTACGTCTTATAATTGATGTTAGTACTGTTTTGGTAACGCGAAAGCAGAAAATTGTAACCAGTGATTGTAATAGTGATTCTTCTTTAAATATACATTGCATAGAACCTAATATTCATTCTTCTGATGAAATACAAAATCTACAATTCAATTAAACTTTATTTCTACATTTTGCAAACTGCTATATTGATTCTTTGTGGCGATAGTGGCAGAATCCTTTTTACATTGGGATGTATTTGGTGGTATTTTTTTTTCATGGTTCGATTCTACAAACCAATCGTAACATCGAAAAAAAAGCAGAGGATTTAATTCTAATTGGCTTATGGCTAATTTCTTCAACTTGGGATAATATTTATCCTGCGGATAAACTCCTAAAACATTAAAATGATTGGTTAGCTAGAGATTTATCCGAAACTGAAGAAACTGGCCATTAGGGTCGTTCTACAATAGGACGTTGTCGGTATACATTTGTCGTAAGTCATTTCTATATACCAATCAAAATGATTTCTCCACTTTTTTCGTTGCTATGGTTGACTTGTAGAAGCGACTTGCGACAAACGTCTACCGACAACGTCCCATTGTAGAACGTCCCTAATAGAAATGACTTTCGACAAACGTCTGCCGACAACGTCCCATTATAAAATAACCTTAATAACTAGAAAACTCCCCACAGCATTAGGTGCATGCCAATTATTCAATTTGTGCCGACTTTTATTGACACGAAGTTTCGCTATTCGCTGGCTCCAACGGAGTATTTGGGAAACAACTAATGATATCGCTTGCGTTGACATAACTCTACACAAGTGAGTAATCGGAAACCAGACTGTTGTGTCTCGATTAAGGCTCGTGCACAGTTGATGCTTTCTCCGGAGCACAAAAGACGCTATAAAGAACAGACCTAAAGCTGTGAAAGCTTCCTATATCTTAATTTTGTAATGCTTGGTTTGATCTATGATCTAGATGACCAATTGCGTAATCTTAAATCTAGATTAAAAAATGATAATATCATCTGTATCTGATCTAGATACATTTTGTGGATCAAAATCTTGATCTGCATTAGATTATCTATTTTTTAATCTTGCACAACACTAGTCCCGACTCTCCCGTTCCGTGAACCGTAACGGCTTACGTGAAAAAACAATTGCTCCGTCAATATTTTGACATGTGATGACATTCTACGTATGAAAATTTGAAATAATCATTTTGAAAAAATTTTATAACTTGAAAATTTCTATTTATTATTATCTTTTCTTATAATTTTATTTAAAACGATCCAGTAGCGCATCGAGTACTACCCTTAATGCCCGCCCGGGGCCGTCAGGGGTGGTATTTGTCCTTTTTGATGAACCCCGTCCGTAAGGGGTTTTTGTTTTACCTGATTCCTTTGGATCATGGTATTGTTTTGTGTTCGCTGCCTGAGCCTTCCTTTCTCCGCGGTTGCACCGCCAATTACGCTTCTTGTTTTCTTCTGAAAACAGATCAAAAATATATATAATGAATGTATAGAAGTTCACGATACCCCTGTATCCATTTCTCAGCCAATCACAGCCTTTGGTGCTCGCCGTGCAGCGGAGGTATGACTCTTCATACCTCGTGCATTAATTTATTGATGACCACCAAATGTTTTAAGTAGACTAGCAATCATCGGCTAGCGTTCTTGCATTGATTAATTTTTTCGAAGGGAGAATCTGTTCAGAAATATCTGTTTTATCGACCGTAAATGTGTGTTCCTACACCCATATCCAGTCAATGCTGGATACTGCAATCATTTTTTAATTTTTTACGAAAACTAACGACCACCAAACATTTTAATTATGATATTCGTTACCACCAAACGATTACGCATCGATTGAGCACCTGAAAAACTTAATTCGTTGAAAAAAAAAATGTCGGCTAACTTCACGGTCAAATTTTGATTATTCGATTATAAAAGAATGACTGACCACCAAATGTTTTTATTAGGCCACCAATGACCACCAAACGACCACCAATCGATTTGGTATGATAAAAAGTTAAAATTGCCCGGCTAACTTCACTGAGGTGACGCGCTGGCCGGACTATCTCCGAATACAGGTGTACGCGTTCCAGTATGGTTAGAGTTCAGTGGTTTTCTACAAGTGTAACTTGTCCAACAAAGAACCAATTGGAGCAAACAATTGCCTAACTTTTATGTCGACTAGCGTCGACTCAACTCGAATAAATCGAAAACCTACTTTGTGTACAGATTTCGGTAAATAATTAAGGAATAGTACGTCAGCAAATCGGTGAGTGATCCACGAACTTCCATCAAACCATCGACATACTTATGTAAATTTAATATTACCGATATAGAAAAACATTCACAGTTTTAATAGCTTTTTATTCTTTATTGCACGTAATGCACGGTATGGTCTAAATCCAACAGGCAGATGTAGATAAATATTTGTTTACTAAATCCATGCTGAGTTTTTACAAGTACAAAACAATTGTTGTTTTAAAAACTAACAATATAAACCTGCTTTATATTTTATTTTTTTACCTTTGTATAAAATTAGAAATAACTATTGTAGATATCGTATAAAATGGAGTTGAAATGTATGGTACAGTCTTACGATTGGGGCAAGCATGGAATCGACAGTACTGTTGCCACATTGACAAAATCTGCAAATACAGATTTTATCCTAGATGAAACTAAACCATATGCAGAACTTTGGATGGGTACGCATCCCAATGGTCCATCATATTTAAAAAAAGAAAATAAATCTCTTGACAGTTATATAAAAGAAAATAAAGAAGTTTTGGGTGTAGCAGTCGAAGAAAAATTTGGCATTCAATTACCTTTTCTTTTTAAAATTTTATCTGTTAACAAAGCTCTATCGATTCAAGCCCACCCAAATAAGGTAAATATTTAATAATAGTTTGATTTTGTCATCATAAACTCAATGTGCTTTAAAATAAGTATATTTACATTATTTATTTCTCTTGTTTAAGGAACGTGCTGTACAATTACATCGATCTCATCCAGATATATACAAAGATCCTAATCATAAACCGGAGTTAGCAATAGCCCTAACACCGTTCGAAGCATTATGTGGATTCCGTCCTATTTCAGAAATAAAACAATATTTAAAATCTGTTCCGGAGTTACGTACTATTATAGGTGAAGACAAGGTACTTGAATTGATGACAATGGATGAAGCAGGGTTGCCTGCTGCACTAAAAAAATGTTTTCAAAATTTTATTAATTGTGATCCTGGCGTAGTGGCGTTGCAATTACGAAAGTTATTAGATCGCATAGCGAGTTTAGGTAATGATAGAAGTATTTCGTTCAATTAGTAAATTGTTCAAAATTAAATATACGTATCTTTTGTGATCTTGATATATCGGATTGTTTTTCAGATGAATCAACTAGACAAATTTTGAATGCTAATTTGCTTGAGCGGTTACATTCCGAATATCCAGGTGATATAGGCTGTTTTGGAATTTATTTATTCAATTTTATAACATTACAACCTGGAGAAGCTATATATCTGGGACCAAATGAGCCACATGCTTACCTTTCTGGTGGTAAGAAGTACCCATTATGAGAAGTAGCTAAGTTTATAATTTATGTTTGATTTGCAACAATATAAATTGCTATTATAAATTTTTAGATTGTGTTGAGTGCATGGCGTGTTCTGATAATGTCATACGAGCAGGTTTGACACCAAAACTTAAAGATGTGACGACATTAGTTGAAATGTTAACGTACAACTGTGAACCAAGTTCAGCCAAACGATTTCAACCGTCACGAGAAGACGAATGTTCTGAGATCTTTCGACCTCCTGTACCTGACTTTGCTGTTGTCAAAATTACCGTGTGTTTTCATATTGCGATATTTATCAGTATAATTCTGTTGTTTCTTATATTTCAAAGAAATCGCAATGCCAATGTCTTACTATTTATATCTTTAAATATTTCAGATACCTCCGGGAAGAGCATTGTATAATCTCATTCCGAGGAGTACAGCAAGTATTCTCATCATAATTAATGGAAAGGCAGAAATATCACCGTTGAAAATTCTCAATCGAGGTTCGGTACTTTTCATCCCGGCAAATGAGAAAGTGATCGTAAAGGTGCTATGTGGATGCCATCCCATGCTGATGTTCCAGGCATTACCAAATGTTTGAAAAACAAGTGGATCTCTAATGGACTTTTGATTATGTCCTATCAAGGATAGCATGTTTTCAATAATCATGGCCGAATAGTGAAAATGAAACACATCTTTGTCCCTTAACTTTTATTATAAACGTAAAATTCTTCATAACATCTCTTAAAGTAACCGAGATTTTTTTACATTATGAAATATTCTATCGAATTTATATTTCTCATAATTTTTTTTTTTTTTTTTAAATAATAGCAAATAGCTAAGCACGTACATTTTTTATCTCTAGGTTATCCGAAACGTTTGTGAAAAATGTGTACTGCATATAGTGTTCACATCAAACTAAAAGAATAACGTTAATGTTGTTTTTGCCCTAACATATCTAGTTAAAGAAGTTACGAAGAAACATCATCTGTGAAATTTAGTGAAACAGTCAAGGTACTAGGAGATAACATGCCCAAATTCCATTTGTAGTGATGACATTAGTAATTAAAATATTTCTTATACTACAAGCCGTGTAATAGATGTTACTAGTCATTACAGTTTTAACCCATTGCACTATTCGGAACCTCGGGAAATGTCAGGCCAAATGCGGCTGCCTAGATTGTCGCGGTGAAAGGCGAGCGGTGGAGCGCGCGTGCCGAAACTTGAGACCTATTCTTACCATCGAGCGCAAATGAGTCATGCCCGTATTTACTTCACGCGATGAAACTCTTGTGAAATTCAAATGAATTTGAATCAAAAACTTTAAAAAAATACTTTAGTTATTACATAAGATGAAAACAAATTCTGATTAATTATAATAATATAATTAATTACTAACAAAATAAAAATATGTAAAACCAAATCCACGGTAGTAGTATTTGAACATCAAACCTAAAACTGAAAAACGCAATTTAAATAAAATATTAAATATCAACAAATTATTAAATTGAAAAATACTTATAAGTATAAATTTAATATTCTTGCATGGTATGATATATTCTAAAGCATTCCGGTACATACTTGGTCCAAAACTAAGACGACGAGTCAGACTCGTGATATTCATGTTCGACCTGAAATGTCGAGTACGAGTCAAGCTCGTGATATTCACGTTTGGTCTGGAACTGAACAACGAGCCCGACTCGTGACATCCGTGTTTGGCCTAAAATTTTCATCAAGAGTCAGACTCGTCAATATAGTGCAAGGGGTTAAGCAGTTGATTATTGAGACTAAGCCTTTTTAAAGTGTACATATTATTTGAAATATATTTATTTATCGGCAGATTTTAACCAGAACTTTATTATTTTGATAAAATATCAATCCGCTTCCAATCGAGTTCAAATTCTAATGTAGATTAATCTATTATAAGGTACTTAGAAATCTCGAATGGCAACATGTTTCACGAAAAACATATGTATACAAAACAAAATTGCTAAAAAATGCTTATGTTTTTACTGGTGTAGTATTGAAATATGGCTGGTATATGTACAAAAACAATTCACTTGTATATTTGCAGATAGCAGAAATAAAACGTTTAAAGGATGGAATATAAAACCGATACATAAATCCAATTGTTTCATGCAATGCCACACTTTGTAATCAGAGAGAGAGACAGAGAGAGAGAGAGAAAGAAAGAAAGAGAGATAGAAAGAGAGAGAGAGAGACGGTTTATTCGATCCTGGAGTAGACTCCTTAAGGACCGCAGAATAAAATACATTTAAGTTCAGGTTCAGTGAGTGAATATAGATATAATGTGTGTTACAAATAATGCACTTTAATCGTAAATATATTATAATAAGCATGAACTGTAGAATGAGATTAAATTAAATTAAGTTAGCCTAACTTAGCCTGATCGATATTGAAAAGCACAAGAGCAGACGATAGCAATGAAAACGTTTATCCAGGATTATGGCACAGATCACAGATCCGCCTCGCGCTCTTCCCCGGCCGGCAAGTAGTTCTGGCATTTTAGCCGAAAGTCTGCAAGATTCTCAACCGTGGTAATCTCCGGGGGCAGTGAATTTCAAAATTTAATACTCCTGGAATTCATCAATGTGCGCTGGTAGAGACTGGGCATTTAAACAGCATACGTTGGTAACAGTAGTCGCTGGTGTCACAGATATAGCGGGAGCAGTGTTGCGCATTCCAAAGAGTCATAAAGACAGTTGCGATCTCCGGGGGCAGTGAATTCCAAAATTTAATGCTCCTGGAATTCATCAATGTGCCCTGGTAGAGACTGGGCATTTAAACAGCATACGTTGGTAACAGTAGTCGCTGGTGTCACAGATATAGCGGGAGCAGTGTTGCGCATTCCAAAGAGTCATAAAGACAGTTGCGACAGGTCCGTGGATGGCAAGACTTTGATAGGACGTGATTCAGCGTCACGCCTAACTAATACCGCTGAATCCTTAATCCAAACAAACTTTGGCTGTATCGCTGGGAACTTTTTTAGTACACGGTCTCTCAATTGGCGTAATTGCAAAGGCTGACGTCTGTTAATATATATATATATATATATATATATATATTGTGACGCAAATTTTATACTTTAACTTATTCGCCAGTGAAATAAAACTGAGACTAAAGCGGAATCTAACCCCAAAGTCTACTCGCCGAGACGCAGCTATCCCGACGCGTTTTGCGCCACAAATTTAATGCTCTATTCCCCCCGGGACGCGATACCGAAAGTCACCGACTGGGCGCCAGACGCACCGTTGCGTCACGTAACGAGACTACGAAAATCCCCGAAAAGAATAGAGTAAGGCAACCGAACTAACTCAGATGAGGGAATGGCAGAGGGGCAGGGAACGCCAAGGTGTTGGTAAGGTAGCCAGGAAGAAGAGTGAGAACCCGATATAGAAAACAATAACAACTGCCCTTTTATTCAGGACAAACTTAGAATGCAA